CATATAATTACGAAGCTCCGTGCACGCCGTATAATATCTATTTCATGGGCAGAACGTGGACACATTATATGCGATCATGTCTTCTCTCCTCATTGTTGTCCGCTCGTTGCGTTCGGACAAATCTCTTCCTAAACGTAACGCAAATTGCAAACTATATTATAATCTAATTGAAATTATTGCTGTCCTATTTCAGTCCTCAATTTCTTACATGATTCCATAATGTAATACCTCCATATTTTCCTCTATTTATCAATACATTTAGAACATTTTAATTTACACAAATTCTGATAAATTATCGGCTTTTCTTTAATTAAGAACATATTTGCGGTCTCCAAATTGAGTTTCCTAAAACGTAAAACAAAATCGTTAATTAATCCTGGTTGTAATTAATTATCGTCCGTCCGTTTGCTGAGCGGAAGAGAAGAGAGGTAGGTGAAGGGTATCAACAATGGGTCGGTTTCCATGGGTCGGACGAAGAGTGTGCATTTCATGTGCGCGCGTCGGATTGCATCGAACTTAATTACAAGATTTAATTAATTTAAGAGCGTCGCCCCTGCAGTAATCCATCCAAACTTTACTGCCGTTACTGCTGCTGCTGCTGTTGACAATGATAGTGGTAGTGGTTTGCAGAAACGATGGTTGCAACCAGATCTGCCCGGAACAGCGACAGCAACAATGATTGTCGTCCGGTTCTGGTGGACAGAACGCGCGCCAGCCCCACGTTTAATTACTTCGTTTGATTGAAGTAATTTTACTGGGAGGGAGATTTCGTCCATCCGCAAACAAATCGAAAACAAACAAACAGATGAACAGAGAGAGAGAGAGAAAGAAAGAGACGATGACGCAAACCGAATTCAATTAAACCGAAATTGAAATTGATTGCTTACGATATTTAGAAACTACCGTGCGCGTTCTGTTCGGTTCGCGTAGTTTATACTAGTTATATAGTATATTTAGTAGTGGTTGGTTGTAGTAGTAGTAGTAGTAATACACCTGCAGGCGACATTCGTTCGTTTCGAACAACGAACGACGCATGGAATTCAATTATTGTCGGTTCACCAGCTCCACAATATGTGCATATAATATTAGTTTCGTCGTTTCCTTCTCGATCTCCTCGTTATGATTATTATTTTTTATGAAACGCTTACGCTTAATTTGCGTTTTATAATTACAATTAAATTCAGCTGTATTCGATAAATTATGCAATTAAGTAAATTTGATAATTTGCAGACTTATTATTACTACATTTGTCCAACTAAATGAACTTGAAAACCAATACTTCAGTTGATGTTGCGAATAAAGCAAACGTCCAAATGGAGGTGATCAATATTTGTACATGTAAAATGGGAAGCTTTGATCTTGCATTTACACAGAAGAAGAATAAAAAGTATAATAATGAAAATTTCAACAAGTTGAACAAAATCGATGTTACAGTTAAACTAAATAGAGGAGAGAGAGAGCAATATTTACGCAAATAAAATGGGAAGCTCTGATGTTGCATTTA